CAACCCCATGATAACCTTTTTTTAAAGGTGGTTAATGCTCTAACAATTGTTGACTCCTGTACACCTCTTTGGCCTCCTCTCCTATCAGTCTGCCTCTCACTTTGGGGTCTAGCAGGATTCCCAAGCACCCCTGCCACTCTGTAACTCTGACCACCCTGAACCCACCCCCTGCTGTCAGCTTCACAGACTCCATCTCTTGGGGAAACTGGGAATGCAGGGGCCTGGTGCCCATTTCTGGACATTTGCTCTACTGTACTTCACTCTGCTTCAGTCTCCCCTATGAGCTAGGAGGTCCCCAAGGGCCAGGCAGTGGCTCACGCATCCTCTAAGTCCCCTCACCCACCGCAGGGCCTGGTGCCCAGTAGACTGGATAAATCTCCACTTAAACTTAGTTTGTTGACTCATACATAGTTCAGAGGCCAATATATTAAATTAATGACAAAATATGTCCTTGGACAGAAAGAGTATTTAAATAGGTACTTTGGCCAAAATGGAAACAGGTCATGTGCCTTTCTGGGATCACTGGGGAAGAGAACACATTGTAAGGAATTACACGTGAGCACTTTACAAGGACCCCATACCTAGTCTTCATAAAGCTCACGTCCTGCTTTTTCTTTTTCAAAAAAAAAACTGACAGTAGTTGACATCAGTAACAAGGGTAGCTCCCTAAGACTATAAAATAACCGCAAAACAAGGCAGGTAGAATTCTAAACAGTTTGTGCTTTACACTTGTTAGCTAGAAAACTGGCTAACAAGCTGAGGCTCTGGAACAGTCCTCCCCTTACCACTGATGGATAAACTTTTTTCCCTTATATTTTTTGTTCTCAGAAGAGAAAAATTATTTGAAGTGCATGGAGGCATCTAGACATTAAAATAAGACTACAGCTGCTGAAAACCTGATCATTTTTGTCTTCCTCAAGTAAACAATCTATGTAAATTGCAGCTTATCTCATTAATTTTCTAAGCAAAATTTGAAATTTATATATCTTAATTTTTCTCCCAAGGTGAGAAAAATGGCCAAATCAGAACCAGATTTATTTTTACTTGTGTAAACTACTGAATAGACCATGAAATGGAATAATATGTAGTATTGTTCTAGCCCCTGTATCAGTAGACTGGAAACTGTATGGGTAGAGAGGCCTGGAAGCACAGGTCCATTCCACAGAGAAGGGCCCCAGGGTCACCATGCTGTAGAAATAACGGCTGTGTGCTTTGGGCCATATTCATGTATGTCATTAAAATATATCTGTATTTGTAAGAAAAATAATTAACCCATAATAAATTATTCTAGCTATTTCAGAATGCTTAAAACTGTGTTTTTTTAAATGAAACAAAAATATATTCTAAGATATTTAAAGTTCTGAGAGTTCCAATCTCAGATTCTTTATTAGATTAATAATTGCCTTGCCTTGAGGGCTGACACATGTGAGAGTAGCTCTTCCTTTTCCAGGTAAATGCCTAGGATTGACTATTATGTATACATTTATTTATTTATTTATTTATTTGTTTATTTATTTATTTATTTATTAAAAGACTGTACTCTTAGATGAAAAGAGTTATATTATGTATACATTTATTTATTTATTTATTTATTTATTTGTTTATTTATTTATTTATTTATTAAAAGACTGTACTCTTAGATGAAAAGAGTTATGGAGATGGATGGTGGTGATGGTTACACAACATTATGAATATATTTAATACCACTATACCATACACTTAAAAATGGTTGAGATGGTAAATTTTATGTTATGTGTATTTTACCACAATAAAAAAATAATACATTTTCGTCAAGCCCAAAGATATTTGTCTGTGACTACCA